GACGGTTTAAAAGTGTGAATGGGGACATCGACTCCCATCGATGAAGTTTTACTGCAACGTGACCTAGACGAAATATCTACATGGGCATCAATTAACTGCCTCCCGTTGAATCCTGAAAACTCCGAATTACCAATCATCAGTAAGTGCTGTCGTGACAAGACTTACAGCATCTGTGGACGATGGTTGTATCCTGCTGTAATGGTGCGAGACCTTGGAGTGCTGTCCCGTTGGGATTTCAAGTCGTCAGACGACACACACAGTCTGCTGTTCCAGCCTCCGCATGCTTTGGTCACTTAAGCGGTCGTTTTATTCCTGGTCGAAAGAAACTGCTATCAGGCTGTACGCCGCCATGGTTCGCCCTCTGTTTACATACGGTACACCAGCCTACCATCCTGGTACAATAGGTGAGATGAGAAAGCTGGAGAAAGCACAACACGTAGCCGCTCGCTTGATACGTACGCTTCGTGGCTTATCCTACCAACAGTGGTGTCAAACTACAACTTCGGACACTTGTTTACAAGAGACTAAGGATTGATCTGATTACAACACCGCCAGCGTCTTCTACCCCTACCGATTCTCACAACCAATGTTCCCCACAGATTGACGACTCAGAGTCGGAGCCCCCTAATCTTTCAGCGCATACCTGTGAACCTCTGAACACTGAAGATAAATGGATCATTCAAAAATGCAAAAGTTCACGCAACAACTTTCAACCTCTCCCTAACGACAGACGACCGTCCAAAACCACAAGCCCCTCCACTCCTGCTGCCTCAAGTTCGTCACCGATCTCCCTGAGGCGTTATAATCTCATGGTGTTCCATGCACCAGAGTCAAAAGATGAAAACCCTCAGAAACGTTATGATCACGATGTTGAGTTCCTTCAGGGGCTCGTTGATAAACTGTTGGATGTGGGTGAAGGCAGCGTAACGATAAAACAAGTAGTCCGACTTGGTCAGCATACTAACCAATCATGTCGACCTTTAAGAATCACCTTTGCTGACCACAGCACGCCACAACTCATTCTGTCTCGTCTCTCCAGGCTTAAAGGCACCAGGGTTCACATCCGCCGAGACTTGGAACCCGAAGAGAGGAACCGCTTGAAGACTGCGATCCTTGAGCTTAAACGCCGTACAGAAGAAGGCGAAACTGATCTGCACATCGTAAATTTTCGAGTGATCAAGAAGGGTGCACGAACCCGTATCAGTCGGTTGATCAACCTCAAGGCACGTCCCGCGGTGCCTCTCAGGACCTCCGTGTTGCATTCACAAACATCTGTAGCCTTATGAACAAACGGGATGAGCTGTGTCGCTTCGTTGCCTCTGAGCGACCAGACGTCGTAGGACTGGCGGAGACATGGCTAACTTCTGAGGTAATGGCAGAGGAAGTCGATCTCAGTGGCTACTCATGCTTTCGCTGCGATAGAATATCAAATCCTCGTGGTGGTGTCTTACTTTATATACGGTCTTCCCTGCGTGGGAGGCTTGTAAGCGTGTACCGAAGTGAAGATGGACTGTGTGAACAGGTATGGTGCTCGATCAACCTCAGGCTCGGCAAGCTGACAGTAGGTGCATTCTACCGTAGCCCTCTGAACCGCTCTTTTGATTGGCTACCGCATCTTCGGGACAACATGAGTCGTCCATGTTTTCTACTCATGGGTGACTTCAATTGTCCCCACATTCAATGGCCTGAAATCCAACTCATGCCCGGGTATTCTGAAGTCGAATCAAAGTTTGTTGATTTGTTGCTTGAAACTGGGGCATCGCAACACATATACCAACCTACGCGCATGACGGCGCGTTCGAACCCATCGTGCCTTGATTTGATGGTGACAAATTGCGAACAGCGGTTGCATGACATACGAATCCAGGAGCCCCTAGCTAAAAGCGACCATTCCGTGCTGATAGCCACTATGGAACTGAACTTGCCGAGTGTATCTCCGGTGGAACCAGCTTACAACTACTGGAAAACTGATTTCGATGGATTAAATCGAGCAGCGAGCCAAATAGATTGGTCTCTACCGCATGTTACATCTGTGGAGGACGGTTGGACAGTAATAAAGGAAGGATTGGCTTTGCTTTGTTCTCAGTTTGTGCCGTTGAAATTTCAGAAAGTCGGGCCAATCAAACCACACTGGTTCGACAAGGAATATGGTAGGCTGGCTCAGTTACGGCGAAGAATGTGGGACGCATTTCGCCTCTCTGGCTCCGCCACTGATTACGAAGCATATAAAAGACAGCGAAATATTTGCAACAAAGTGAAATTGATAAAGCGCTGGAAGTTCGAAGAAAAGCTTGCAACTGACGCGAGGATGGCCCCAAAGAAGATCTTTGCTTACGTGAAACGCCGTTTGAAGCCAAAAGGTGACGTGTCATGTCTGGAAGACGCGGACGGACACCTGCTAACTTCCAGTTCCGATCGCGCGTCCGCACTGGCCGCTCACTTCGCTTCCGTGTTTGCAAACGACGCGGCGTCCGTACCCATCTCAGCGAGTAACATTCCTGTAGAACTCAACAGTTTGGTTTGTGATGTCGACGAGGTGCGCCTGCTACTTGCGAACCTTGACGGTACCAAGCCTGCAGGGCCTGACGGGCTTCATCCGCTAATTATCAAATCACTAGCTGCCATTATCTCGCCTGTGGTTACGGATCTATTCAACAAATCATTGTCTGAGGGCTCATTGCCAAACGACTGGTAGCGCTCGGTGGTGAGGCCGATCCCGAAAGGTGGCGACCCCAGTAAGGTGGATAACTACAGGCCAATTTGTCTTACACCCGTTTTGGCCAAAGTGATCGAGAAGATAGTAAAAAAGCGTCTAATACATCTGTTACAATCGAAAGAACTTCTGACACCGGCACAACACGGATTCAGGATGGGATATTCTTGTGTTACAAACTTACTTGTGACGAGACAGGAATGGTTGCAAACACTGAACCGGGGAAAGTCCGTCGACGTAATCTACATCGACTTCAGCAAAGCATTCGACAAAGTCAATCATGAATTGCTTCTAGACAGATTAAGGTCGTGTGGTGTCGGAGGATCGTTACATCGATGGATCCATGAATTTCTCGTTGGAAGAAAGTGGAGGGTACAGGTGGACGGCCATCTAACCGATTGGTATCCCTCGACCAGTGGTGTACCTCAAGGTACGGTACTGGGACCCACTCTGTTTCTCATCCACATCAACGAGCTGCCCCAGCTTCTACGGTCGCCGTGTGCACTGTTTGCGGATGACCTCAAAATTTGGCGAGAAATTAATACTCTCGATGACTGTGACATTCTCCAACAAGACCTCGACCGCCTCGCAGTATGGTCTGCTGAAGTCCACCTACCGGTCAACCCGGTCAAGTCCCTATTCATGAGTCTCGGGAAGGCTGTTCACGGACGAACGTACACCCTAGACGGCCAACCACTGCATCCCACACCTTCCGTGAAAGACCTAGGTGTACTCTCACGCTGCGACTTGAAGTCCGTCGACAACACCAACAAACTGTATCGAAACAGACTGCGCATGCTCTGGGCGCTGAAACGCAGCTTCTGCACTTGGTCTGAGGACGTCGCCACTCGCCTCTTCTCTTCCATCGTCAGACCAATGGTAGAGTACGGCTCGCCTGCATATTGTCCGATCACTCGCGGCGAAGCGCAAAAGATCGAACGAGTACAACACATCGCCACCAAGTTGATCCCCAGTTTGAGAGGCTTATCGTATGAAAACCGGTGCATGAAACTTGGGCTCTACACCTTGTCATATCGCCGTATTCGAGTGGATCTTATCATGACCTACCGTATTTTACATCTAGGTCATTTCCCCATGCTAAGGTCGTTACTCCACTTGCGAGTACCATGCACCACACGTGGGCACAGGTACAAACTCGTGGTACCTGATCTGAAGAAAATCCCACACCCCCTGTGTTTCGAGCGGAGGGTTGTGCACGCCTGGAACAGTCTGCCAGAACACGTCGTCGAGGCCGAATCTGTGCAGAAATTCAAATCTTTGTTGGATGTACACTTCGCTAACATACGTTTCAGAGAACGGTTGCCACTTGACAACGATATCACCCACTTGTGACTCACTGTGTAAACAAGCATTTTGTGTGCTACAGAAGGAGTTGCTGAACCATCTCAGGATAACCACCGGACGTGTTTATTTATTTATTTTTTAAAATGTTTTTTGATTATCACCCGATGGAGTTGTACAGAATTATTTTCTACTTGCTCCAAAATACAGTATTCAGTATTCAACATTCAGGCTCCTTCATCTGGGACACTTTCCTCATTTGAGCTATATGTCCTGCGTTACGAATACATCTATCACTCGAGCCCATGTTTACAAACTGGAGGTTCGACGTATAAACCACGTTTCCCATATTCATTGTTTTGCGCGACGCGTGATAAAAGTTTTGGAACTGGTCGCCCAGTCCTATTTGTTATGCTTAGAACAATCCTAACTGACCCAACCACCATGATCATCGATCAACCGCTATCGATCACTGTATTGAACACTCCGTCATAGCCAGAGCAGCGTTCGCATTTGGCATCATGGGCTGACGCAGTACGGTTGTCCAACTTCAGGCCTGTAGCCCAACTTGGTCAAATACATAGATTCTGGAAATGTACCCATTCTTTTAACACCAGGTTGCAACAATTTAGCGACAGTGGTGGGATGGATTAAGACGGTGTTTTTACAAGGATTTGAAATGTAATTTTTTTCACAATAACGTGGGCAATTTGGAGCCGCTCGGTTTCACCTGATCTGGATTTCACCAGTCACTTATCTGTCCAACCATGTGGAGATTCGGCACTTACTCATGATCGAGACCGTCACTCGACAATTATATTTTCAGCCGGCAGTTTTCAGGCAATTACGAATGATCGGGACAGTCACTCGACACGTGCCTCTCCAGTCGGCAGGTGCCAGAATACCTAAGAGCCTTCATTTGACGCAGAAAGCAACAATGGCTTACAGCGAATGTTCCGAGCTCCAAATAAGGGACAGCAACAGTCTCAGTTCCCTTGCAGCTGCAACAGTCCAAGTGTCAAAAGACCCTAAGGAATGTCAGGTCAGGTCAGGTTAAACGGACGATAGAGGTTTCCGCCTAACGAGCGTCCAGTTCTTGTGCCGGTAAGTGAAGCGGCCCCCGGCACTTCGACGTTGGATTGTTTCTTCTTGCCTCTGCAATGGAATGAAGCAAGAACAAGAGCAATCTTTGCACTTTCATATGCCAGCATCAAAATATACTACATATTCCAGTACAACTGCAATATCTCTGGAAAATTGATGGACCAACAATCGTCTAAGCCCCTTTTGAAGGCTTCTACGGTCTCAGACTCCACTAAATCAGAAGGAAGTTTATTCCAGAAGTTAACTACACGGTTCGTAAAAAACTTTGTTCTGATGTCCAAACGAACTCTATGATGTTTGAGCTTCAGGCGATGACCGCGCAGACGGTCTGACATGGCCAACTCAAACAGATGTGTGGAACTAATACCACTAAGTCCCTTAATGATCTTTAACGTCTCTATCAAATCCCCTCTCAACCTACGCCGTTCCAAGGAAAATAATCCCAAGCTACTTAGCCGATCTTCGTAAGACTTCCCTCGTTGACTTTCGATCATCCTGGTCGCAAGTTTCTGATATCCGGAAAGTGCTATCCAACGCAAGGACATCAATCGCTTATGCTCAAATTCCTGACGATAACAAACAATCAAAAATGCTGCGGCACATTCAAAGACACAAGCTACATTCATACGCAATTACATACGTATATACACCCATACACTTACATACACTGTTATGCCAAACATGTACTTTTGTACATTTTTGATCACACTATGTTAGCTGAACATGATCATGCCTGTAAAGGTGTGTCTCGCATTGTCGAGAATAAAATTTTATTTTATTTTTATATTTTATTTTTAAATGATGCCACCCCGGAGGTACGGTGACCAGGCCTGAACACAATACTCCAGATGTGGCCTGACCACTGCTTTATATAACGGCAAGAATACTTCTGCTTTAGTGTTACTCAGCGCCCTCCTAAGACGAAATAACTCGTGTCGCGCTTTATTGGCAGCGTGGCGACACTGCGCCGAAGGCTTAAAATTGTTCACTACGACGACACCTAGATCACGGGCTTCATCAGTACACCGCAATGATAGAGATCTCACAGGAGACTGGACTTCAATTCCGCTGCCACTACTAGTCAATACTTGACATTTATTGGCATTTAGAGGTAGATCCCATTGGTTTGACCAATTCACCACAGTGATGATGTCCCTAGTCAACGTCGCTCGGTTTCCCCTACTGACTAGCTTCAAGTCATCTGTGAAGATATAGCAGAGATCCTCAAGAAGAGGAGCCAGGTCATTTATAAACATAAGAAACAGCAATGAACCCAGCACCGAACCTTGGGGGGCACCGCTGTAGGCATGGCCAACACCAGAACTCGCTTCCCCAACCCTGACTCTGAATGTCCTTCCACGTAAGAATTCAGAGAGCCATAGTAATAGTTGAGGATGCAGTCCAAACCATGTCAGCTTCTCAACTAAAAATCGATGATTCACTGAGTCAAAGGCTTTACTGAAGTCCAAATAGCACACCTCTGCCGATATCCCACTATCAAGACATAGGGTAATCTCGTATGAAAAGCACAATAAATTGGTAAGACAAGACTTCTTTTTAAGAAAGCCATGCTGTTCCTCTCTAATTAGATTGTGCTTAGTCAACTGCTCACAGATCCTCTTCCTTATAAGCTTTTCCAAGCATTTCAGCATGATGCTGGTCAAACTAACTGGTCTATAGTTAAGAGGCACCGACTTAGAACCTCCCTTGTGGATGGCAACAATAGTCGCCTCCTCCCAATCACGTGGCAGCTTGCCTTCTTGAAGAGACTGGTTGAATAACTCCGTTACGGGATACTGAGGGATATCAGCCAGAGGCTTAACTATGGCAGTATGTACACTATCATGACCAGCTGATTTATAAGGGTTCAAACTGGCCAGCACTGTGAAGACCTCTGACACATTGAGAATAATTTCTCGCATTGTGTAGCTAGTTAAGCAGTGCGGCTGTGATGGCAAGCCTGACCCACTATCCTTCCGATACAGGTTTTGGTAGACACGTAGCAGCGCTTCTACTTTATCAACGTCGTCTACAGCTTGGGTACCGTCCTCCATGGTTAGTCAGCCGACCACCTCTCTTAGAGAAGCCTTCGATTGGACATAACTGTAATAACACTTGGGATTAGTTTTCGCAAATTTGGCCAACCTAAGCTCATATGAGTACTTCGCCTGCCGCTGTAACTTAATAGCCATGTTTCGACACCTTTTGTATTGCAGCCAACGTCGGAAGCCCCAGGGGAGGTGTTATGGTTAGAACAATCCTAACTAATCCAATCACCATGATCATCGACCACTGTATTGAACACTCCGTCATAGCCAGAGCAGCGCTAGCATTCGGCATCATGGGCTGACACAGTACGGTTGTCCAATTTCAGGCCTGTAGCCCAACTTGGTCAAATACATAGATTCTGGAAATGTGCCCATTCTTTTAACACCGGGTTGCAACACTTATTGTTGCAGATTCCGCACAGCGTTTCAAGCAAAAAATTGATACCCAATTTTCAGACTTGCTTTGATGCAGAGACTATGTTCGATCTTTTCTCGTCGCGTTGATATGTGACAACTGCACTAGCAGCTTTGATAAACCGAGACACTTAGAATAGTGCTGTGTTTGTGGTTTGTAACTATTTTTATAAGTAAGTAAATAAGTTATAAGTTTGTATATTTACCGACAGACGGTATACGGCCCCGTAAGTGGGAGCGATCATTTGAGTGTTACTAAGGAACCAATCTTGTGACCTTACACAGATCGACATTCTTCATTGGTCGTTTTGATTTTATTTATGATGATGTATGTATATATGTAATCTCAACATGTAATCTCAACAGTCTATTAACTAGACATAGAGCCAGCATAAAACCATAGAAATCAGCAGATAAGCAAGATTCATCGCGTCATAATCATCGTGGCATGCTAGTTGAAGGTGAGCAACACACTTCAACTAATATGCCGCAGGAAGAATGGGACATTTTGACTAAAAATAGAACAACACATCTTTGGTTTGTTGTTCACACGCCGCTTTTGCTCTTTTTTGTCATTTTAATGTTTGTAGTATTGAACATGTGAATCAACACAATACTGTACACAATTCTTCCACTGATTCCGGTTGCGGGCCATATCTTCAAGAGTGCTGAGCCATTGGCACTCCTCATCTTTGGGTCCCCATCCTGGAAGACGTACGGATCCAACAGCGGACAGACACGACGTCAGCGATTTCATGTGCTGTCGCCAAGTGGAAGGCTGACCACCACGCGGTCACCTCCAGCCAGGTCCTTGACGAGCGAATAGAGCGCGACGCGGTAGACGCTCAGGTGCCATGCGTAGGACGTGACCGAGCCATCTCAACTGGCGCAACAAAATCAGTTTGTTGAAGGGAATACTCGCATTATCCAAAATGCGACGTCGAACGTCATTACTATTAACGATGATGATGACGCAGATTGTAATCATTTTCTCTTAGTACAGTGATCCTGATTCTGATTTTGTTCGATTTGGTCGTGCACTGCATCATGGAATGTTCCCTTGCGGATTCTCACGATGCAAGCGTTGAGGTACTGCCTATTGAAAGGCCAGTTGATCTTAATTATGCGGACAATATAGTCTTGCTGTTTGACGATGTTGAGGCGGCGCATCAACCCTGAATAACCTGCGTAGAATGGTTCCATTATTTGGTATGCGCTTCGCACCTTATTAGTGCAAAGTGTTGCTGCAGCCACTTGATGATCCGTTGACCCTAGATAGCGAAGAACTCAAGGTTATTGATCAATTCACTTACCTTGGCAGCTTTATCAGCAACGATGTATATTGCAAAGCCAGAACTGCTTTCTTAAAGCTGAGATATCTTTGACGACAGAAAGTGGTTTCCCTCCTTTTGAAAGGCCGTGCTTACGAGGCCACAGTGAAGGCAGTTCTACTTTATGGGAGTGAGATTTCGCTCCTTTGGTCTGAAGATCTGAGGCGTTTTCAACTCTTTCATCCTCACTGTCTGCGGATCATCGCGCTCAGCACCGTTATTTCACGCACCAGGCTCCGATGGTTCGGCCACGTGTTACGCATGCCAGCCCACTGACTTCCGCGACGTGTGTTGTTCGCGCGCCGGGGGTGTGGATGGAAGAAGAGAAGGGGTGGCCAAGCGATGACTTGGTCGAGAGGAATGAAGGCCCTCACTTCGGAGCTGGCCTCAGTTGGAGCGTCTGGGCTCCCTGGTTGGGGTCCGAAAGACGATGAACACGTTTGGTTGGATACATTAGCGGATATGGCTAGGAGCCGACCTCAGCGGCGTTCGTGCTGTGAGTTTCTTTGTCCCACCCCATCTCTCTTAAACTTCTGCAACCACGATCTCTTATATAAGTTTGCAGTAATTTTTGTGATGCACACTAGCTGGCTGGTAGCTTACCGGTAGCTCAGCCAGCTTGCACCAGTTGCTTTTTTCTGCTTTTTTTCTATGTATTGTGGCACAGTAGCTGAGGTGTTTCCCACCTCTAGCTAACGTGTATAATGATGATGATGATGCGGAGCATCGCTAGTGTCGGGTGGCACCAGCGTGTCCGCAACCATGATGTGCGTAGGCGGGTGCTAGACATTGATACTCAAGCTACTTCCTTCAAACAAATGGCAGCACTGAGTAAGTTGCGTTGGCTTGGGCACGTACTACGTATGCCCAGATACCGCTTACCGAGGAGGGCCTTGTTTTGTCTGCCAGATGTAGGGTGGCGCAAGGCTCGAGGTGGACGAAAGTTGACTTGGTAACGGGAAATGAAGTCACTGATGACCATACTTAGTGCCGTCGGTCTGTCTCGCCTTCCAAACTAGAGTCCACTTGACTCGCCTTGTGCTTGGCTCGCGACTTTATAGGATCTCGCTCGCGACTTTATAGGATCTCGCTCGCAGTCGACTCCAGTGGCGCGTCTGCTGCCTGCTTAAAGTGTGTTTGGTGCTGAGTTATCTGCGGGGTAATGGCTGATTATGACGCGTGACAGTGAAAGCCGCAAGGAACCTGTCTTGCCGATGCCGCCTTATCTTTGCACAATAGCCAGCTGTTTGTGATGGCATGTTGTTGACGTGGTGTAGACGCCTTGACGCTGAATGTTTGTTTAGGGCATTAAGGTTTCCAAGTAAGTCACCTTTCTCTCTCTCTTATTATTCTTTGTTCTGTAGGTCGTTACGTTTGTATGGCAGCGAATCATCAGTTCAAATGGGATGTACTACTGTTGATGATGATCATATTACGGGAAGTGAACCGACCACTGGTTAGTTCGACGGAGCTTACTCCACCGGACGTGCTCCCAGGTTGCGGATCGGGGTGCCTTTCTTGCTATGGCAACTGTGAATAAGTCTCGGCTGTTCGCAGTCAAGATGAATAAACAATCGCGGACAATCAGCGGCGGCGTCCTAGAGCTTTGGGGTTCTGGGTTGGTCACCTGGTTTCTCATGAAATACCACAAGAGCTCACAAGACACTGTGTCAAAGCCAATGTGACCGGCTATAGGGTCACTGACCACTCGCTTCTGATCACAGAAGTGAGTGCTTAATGGAGAGCGGACGAACAACCTCGATGGCCCCTGGCTTCTATAAAGGCGTATGAGCCAGCCGGCTGTCAACGGCCTTCGTGCTTCGCGGCGAGTTCGGTAGTCCAGGAAATTCTGACTTCCTCGCTACTTCACTCGGGCTCTCTGGACGCTCTGAGTAGTTCGCATCTACTCGAAAGCCGTTTTATTCTCGCATAGATAGCCGGCTCCCAACGGTTCGCGGTATAGGTCAATCGCCTCGCTGCTCTGCGGGTTAGGTCTCTAATGACCCAAAGCTCCGGGTGGGTTCCCCTAAGTCAACCCTCTTCCTCGGCCTGGGCAATCGGGAAGCACCATGCCCACACAACGTATGGATTCATGTCTCAACAAATCGCTCTCTCCCTCAGCTCTTGCTCTATCTGCTCTCACTCTCGAATTGCTCTCCTCGGCCGTGCTGGCGGCTGAACCTGTCAAACCACGTTTTACTGCACCACCGTTTAATTACTTTATTCCACGTTTTTTCCACCTCCTATTCTTGGTCTTCCCTCTCCGTTTTCGAGTTCTCAACACCGTGCCGCCTGGGGCGAACGTTCTCGCCATACGGATCAGGAGCCTAGGTCCGTGGGTGCGCCAAGTCATGTTGGCAAGCCACTTTTAGCGTCCCGTTCACAATTCAAGCTGGCAATCTTCCATGTGCGGACGCTGATGCAGTTTGGATCACAGACAGCCCTTGCTCGCACTTCAGAAACTCTGGTCATTCATATCTGCTGTCTCAGCGCGACCCGTTTACAGGACTCTTGCACGACGCTGCGGCTAGTTTCAGCGTCTGCGAATTTCACTAGCATCTTCACTCTGCGCCTACCTGAAGACTCAACCGCTGGAGCCGCTGGTTATGCTGGCGTGGGGATTGTGTTGAGCACACGGGCTGAGGCCACGCTACTAGACTGGATCCCTGTCAACAGTCATCTATGCGCGATCCGACTCGCAACCTCGGTGCGACTGTCCAGGCGCAAAGCCAGCAGATGCTGTCTATTCATTGTCGCAGCGTACGCTCTCAAAGACTGCAACCCGAAGTCATTTAAGGACGAGTTCTGTGGTGAACTTGCCGACCTCCGTAAAAAGCGCCGTACCGACATCGTGGTGCTCGCTGGGGACTTGAACACGCAGGTCGGTAGGCTTGAAGTTGACGGACGTGAACTCGGTGGTCAACACGGTCATGGCACTCGAAAAACAAACTGTGGTGATCGCCTACTTCAGTTTTGCGCCGATCATGTCCTCTTTCTGTCGAGCACTAGCTTTCGGGGATCCTGGCGTCAACGCGCCACCTGGAGACCCCCATCATCTGGCCAGCCGTGGACACAAATTGACCCCCTTACCATTAGCTATCGCTGGCGGGACTGCATACGGGATTGCAAATCAACATTGTGTATCTACTTCACTACGGATCACGCTCTGGTGTGTGCCAGGGTCACGACACGTTTTGATGGCTCCCAGCACCGTCGTTATAAACGGCTCGGCGTAGCTAAGCTTTCAGCCCCGAACGATCACTGCGCATTTCAGAATGCCTTGGCCTCAAGATTGAGGACTGCTTCATACACAACCATTGAAACACACTGGACACACATCCGCGGCGCCATGTACAACTCTGCAACCCTGGTCTGTGGTTTCACTAGTAGTCCTGTCAACCACTGGATCTCTGTACGATCTTTCTAACTTCTCGAAACCCGTCGAGCAATTCCTGCCAGCGTTAAATACCATTCACTACGCAAGACTACTAACGCTGAGCTCAAACAGCTACTCTGGGAAGATCGCGAGGCCTGGTGGGCGATGCGGGTCATTGAGATGGAGCAAGTAGCCACCTCGGGGAATTTCCGTTAGCTTTTCCTCTTGATTCAATTTACTGGTGGCAAAAGGCTGACTGTAAGCTAGGTTTTATTCGAAACCAATGGCGAGCCAATCCATTGTCAAAAACGCCGACTCGAGCGTTGGGTCGAGCATTTCGAGCAGCAGTTTAATTGGCCAGCAGCACTAATAAGTTCCCATTCTGGAGTCCAGAGCGCTCCCTGGTATGTAGACGCTTCATCACCATCCTAGGCTGAGGTTGCCCATGACCCTCGCCTCTTAAATCGATACAAAGCTCCTGACCCAGATGAACTCCCTCCGGCTATTTTCAAAAATGGAGACCCATCACTTGTTCAGGAGTTAACTACTCCAAGAGACTTGGGTCAGTGAAGTTATCCCATCTGGTCGGAGCCTAGCGGATAATATGCCCGTCTTCTAAAACGGTACCCGAACTGACTGCGCCAACCACAGAGGGATAAGTCTCATCTGCGTTGCTCCCAAGGTGCTCACAGGTCTGCCTTTAAAGAGGCTCGGTCTGGTACGCGAACAGAGAATACGCGAAGAGCAAGCTGCGTTCTGCTCGGGTCGGAGTTGCATCGATCACATCTTTACACTCCGCCAAACACTCGAGCGTTGTCAAACATTTGGTCGGCCAACGATCGTTGTATTCTTAGACATACGAGCCGCATTTGTCTCAGTCTACAGAGCTGCTTTCTGCAGTTGTCTACTGAAAAGGGGAGTACCCGAGTAGTATGTCACCTTACTTTAAGCCATCTATTCTCAAACCTCGGGCCGAGTGCGAGTGTACGGCAGACTTTCACCCCCTTTAGTATCTCCAGTGACGTGAGACGGTTGCCCAGTATCTCTCTTGTTCAATTTCGCTATAGACGAAACCTTGGAGAGTGCTCTTGTGGTCTGCGAATTCAGCGGCGTCGAGCTGCTTCCGGGAGACCGACTTCGGGATTTGGAGTATGCTGACGACATCGCCGTAATCTGCGATTCTTCACAGGCCGCTCAAAATGTTCTGTGTAGGTTGGAGGTGTCTGTCTCCCAGTTTGGAACGACCTTCGCATTATTGAAGTGCAAGGTTTTCCTGCAGGACTGGCTAGGCGCTGTTTCTACCCTTACCCTTCTAGGTCATTCATTGGAAGTGGTGGACAAGCTCGTTTACCTCTGAAGTTGCCTCAACGCTAATGGTTTAACGGATGACGTCTCTGCGCGTCTCCAAGGCTCGGATTGCTTTTGCCAATCTCCGCCATCTCTGGCGTCGAGGCGATCTGAGGCTATCTCTGAAGGGCCGAGTTTACAACACCACAGTGAGAGCGGTTCTTCTCTATGGATGTGATATTTGGCCTGTTTGCGCAAAGGATGTTGAGTGGCTGTCTGTTTTTGATCACCACTATATATATATATATATGTATATATATGTATATATATGTATATGTATATGTATATTATATATATATATGTATATACATGTAGATGATGATTCTGACTGCTGGTGGTCGCGTAGTGGCGAAGCATCGGTAAGGAGCACCGGGGTGCATTGATTTAAACTCGATGAGCTTGACTTCTAATAACCGTCTTACAACGGTTTCCGATGAATAGAACACATCACTCGATTCATTTGGAGGGTTACAAGTGTATAAGTGCGCCGGGTGAGCATTCGTCGCTACTCGCCTGTTGTTCGGACTTGCTTGCATTTAATCTTGGGGGTATCGCCGCAACTGATGACTTTTACTGACACGGTATGCAACTACTGTTGGGCACTTTAGGCTTGGAACTTTCCTTGTTTTCTTCGTTTGATTTTGGTCTAGTAGGTCTGAATTTGTTAATTATCAAACCGGGTTATTCACCCGAATGCGCTTTACATTTGCCATCTTTTACAGTTTGGATATCTTTGATACCGATTGGACAATACCTTCTCATTAAGAATCAGCGGGTCAGTAATTTGGGCATGGTAAGTATTTTACGCATTTGCACTCACTATCTTCATTGCAGTCAGCTTTGTTCAATTTTCAAAGTCTTCTCAGCGTTGTGCTGTTACTGATTTGTACATGTGCCTATATCAGACACTTCTCTCCTGCATTACTGGATGCACATAAGCACGGGTAGATATCTCAATTTTTGATTGACTGTTTGCCATCACTAGCTTTTTGGGTCTATTCTGGAAATGTGCTCGTATTGGTGAGTGGCTCCTGATTTTTTCAATCATCCTCATTTTAGGCGAACGTAAAAGCCCTTATGTTGCCATCTGCTGCATTCTTATGGCTGGCGCTGTGATATTCGGGTCGTGATTGCTAAAATATACTTTTTATTCGTTTTCATCCCTTTTTTCCTAAATTATCTGCGTTTTTTTGCAAACAGTGCTCCTTTGTTTCAGCTTTTTAAATTCCCCAACACCCTGATGTTATGACACCTCTGTACAATTTCGGGCGAATATTGGCTTGTCCGAAACGTTCAATGGCTCTGATGCAGAATCCATACAGGCATCAACCAAAGCAATACAAAGATACCTTGACCATCATCGGCGTCTTCTGCGTTCTGACTCCGCTTGCCTGGCTAATTTACGACCGCATTCATGGAATCGATCAAGTTCCGAGACGACCTGCTAGCTAAATGATTCAATGTAACTTCCACTTATTTAGTTAATACATTATACTCCTCACTTCCTTTGTTCACTTTAAATCGCTATTCTGTCCCTGGCATGTAACCTGATTTGGTTTCAGTTATGTCCGGTTTGCTTATCTGCAAAAGGTTCAGGCCACCAAATCTCGGATCCCTTAAGTTATTTTTGCATCTCATTGGAAAAGTTCAGAACCGCACTTCTGTTTGTTTGCTTGGGATCGATTCGACCAACTACTTCGGTTGTTTAAAGAACCACACTTCTGCATTTGCGGTCACGACTCGCCACTACGCCTCTCAGAGCACCCATGAGCAGAAACGAGATGAAAACGCCTATGGAAACCGTTCCGTCTTTTATCCTGTGATCGGCGTCGCTGCCTTATTGGTCACAGCTTTTGGTCTACGGTGGTACGTGGGTCGAGCTCCAGCTGATGTGACAAAGTAAATTACCGTCTCTTACAACATCGCTTTCACTGAATTTTAACGTGAATACTTAATTTGCGTTCATCTGTATTCTTTTCCAGTTCCACGTGCGGCCGTATTAATTTAAATGGACATTTGTTTAAATCTGCATATGTTATTTTTCCTGTTTTTTTTTATATATCTTTAATACCTTAATCCTGCCAATTACTTTAATACCTGTTTTGGATCAGTTGTATAAAGCGTGAACAAATTGATTATTTTTTGCGACCCTGTTGTACACATTGATCAGACCACATAGTTGGACTGCACCTCGAATCGTTGAGGAATATACAATTTATTTATTTATATTCACACTATGGACTTCACTGGTTACAACTCAGAAATCCGGTCTCTTTTTCGAAAGAGATTGAGAAGATTATTTTATTCCTTTACGATTCACAATGGAGCGGGGCCTTAAACTTAGCTTGCCACTCGTTGTTACTAGTGCTATCGGTGTCATACAGAATTCACGAACTTATTAGCCTTTGTTCTACCATGCTTTTGGAAAACCGATTTGGATACCCTGGACCCGTTATACATGCACCTAGCACTCACTGGGAAGACGTTCCGTTTTGTTTACCGGACTTAGTATGGTATAATGTTCGAGGATATAGCACGTTGATCTCTTGGCGATTGATGAAATCACTGACTACTAGCTTGTTTTGTTCGTTCAACTCTCTTCCATGTTTACGATCCACTCTACTCACTCCCTACGTGTAGGTATGGAAAGATGTCGCATTATTTTTGACAATTACGAGAACAAGAGCCCAACTCCGGTTTTAGCGAGGTTAATGGCTTCCACCCTGGTTCATCGCCTTGCTGCGGAACGGGCAGTTTTCCAACTTTAACTAGGTTGCTGGTGCTAGGTCAGTACCATTTACCGTAGAGTGACCACAGTCGTTTTCTTTTGTTTCCAGAGCACGTTTTACTCAATCGATCACTCTGTCTTGTTTCGCATACTTACCCGGGAAGTGCCGTTTATTCGAAAGTCATGCTGTATCAGAGTCTATGGAGAGTTACTGGACACCTTCCGGAAAACAAGTGTCGTTCATCAGGGCTGTCTCATTTCTATCGTATCTTATCACAAACTTTGTCATGAAACATTCTCTTATGGAGCCCCACAGCGCAATCCTTGTGTTCCTATCTTGAGGAGGATTACCTGACATTGATTAACCGGGCAGTGTCCCGTCGTTTTACGGTTTCCAAGCGGCACAGTCGACATTGGTTTGATTCTCTCGGGCGTGGCTCCATTCATTAGCCCGTGGTTCGCACTTTCAACTTGCATATTGCTGTTGCAAGACCACCAGCCTCGTTAATAGTTAGGAATTATAATCGGTTGAACAATCCACCTACCTTAGCAATTGCATTCGTTCGGACAGCGACATGATTACTAATATTATTCAAGTGTTGCAGAACTATTCTGTCTTGATGGATTTGCAACGCCTTTGATTTCATAATTGGATTTCCATTTTTTACATACCATGCATGCGGTGTCTCGCTTATATCCCTTATAACTTACTGTAGTATCTATCGTATTTCAGATATCGACACTGCTTATAGTGCACTACTTTAGTCCGATAACACCCGCTTGCCCGAAGTGACAATGCGGGCAAAAGGAAGCTCTGCCTAACTCATTAGTTCAGTAAATAAGGTTACATTGTTCATTGCATATGTTAAGTATAACGACCAACTGCTTATCGAGGAGGCTCTTGTTTCTTGTCGGCTTTAGGATTGTATGAGGCTCCAGTGTGAGCAGTCTTGAACTCGATGATCGCATGGGAAGTCACTAACGACTAAAATTGCTGCCTTTTGGCCATCTCGCCTTTCAGACTGAGCTCCGCACGACTAACCCCGTGCATGGCGCATGTGACTAGCGACCGGTATCAGTGGCTTGTTTGCTGCCACCTGGCTGTACTGCCTGTTTAAATATCTTGTATAAAGTTAGTTATGCTACGGAGCGGTAGAAATTGAATGAAACCTGTCTCATCAACCAGATGCCTGCGTGCCTAAGGTGTTACTACAGTATCAATGTATTGGTTCTAACTGGTTACCTATGACATTTCTGCACCACGTTTTCTATCGCTCTTATTATTTCTCGTCACCCTCATGACGTGTTCATTGTCTTCCGGTTCCCAACGAGGAGTCCAGTGGCTACAACCGAGACTAACTTCCAGCTAAGGACCTTCACTCCGTTTGATCATGTCGTCGATTTGTTGTTAGGTCACTACCAAGTGAAGTAGGCGAAAATACCACCGACAGGAAGTCGTCTGTCTCACATTCTAAATTGGAAAACCGGAGTAAAACAACGGGTCTTCCGGATGAATTATCCGCCTCCTTTGGACTACCAGTCTCTACTGTCTCACCAACTTCCGTCTCTGTTCCTCAAGAAGAAACCGATGCTTTATCAAACGACCAAGCGGAATCGCCTGTCCACCAAAAAGTTTCTGCCCATCGAATACCTTTGGAAGAGGAAGGTTAGTCTCGTATTAGTTTGCGTTATATCAGCAGTTCCTTTCTCATTGTTAACTTCAATCAGTGTGCGTACCTCCCGCTCGCATGTTAGACTCACACTGTCGGCCGGTGGCCGAGTGGTCTGCACACGTGGCTTGCAACCATAAGGTCACCGGTTCAAATCCGCGTAGGGGCGGGCATCCGCGCGAGCGACTGGTGGTGGTCGCGCGGCAGCGAAGCGCCGTTACTGCCTACAGCTGACACATTATTATTATTATTATTATTATTATTATTATTATTTATTATTATTATTACATTGCCTGCAGCGCATCCCGCCTGAGTTCGGTGTCCAGCTCTGGCTCAGAATTGTTTGGACATAAACTCATTCCTCCGCGCGAATGGCTCCAGTCTTTTGAGTTCAGAAAGTTTTGAAAACAATCGGTTGTTGTATTTGTTAGGCAACGTTCCGATTTTTATGCAAAAGCTTCGTCAAGCGAACTGATTCAATATACACTTGGAGTAGCGTTTTATAACGAACCAGAACGATCATCGCGAAAAGAGGGACATGCGTCAAGGTGTTATCACTGTCGCAGATTGGCATATCATCTCAAATGTTTTCATTCATCATGGGAATAGTCGGTTCCTCACGCATAATTGCATTGATACATAAGCCCATAATGATGGTACTGGAAAGTCACTTCGCTTTCCAACCGGATCCGCGTTACCCAACAAATACACCAACCGATTGTTTCCAAACCTCTGAACTCATAACTTCTTGATCGGTTCCGAGTATCTTACAAGATTTCAGCTGCAATCTTTATTCCCTAGTAGCACATTGAGTAAACCGGTATCCTATTTGCACTTTTTGCCCATTTATTGTGCACTTTCTCACATTGTGCCGGTAAGCCTCTCACTCCCTCGACATCACCTATGCTATCGAATTTATTCATTCCTCAGACACTGTTATTATACATAACTGACGTTTTGTTTATAATAACGCAATACTTTTCGTCTCAAGTACATTTACCTGGTTTTTCGTTTTACTTCCGATTCCTTTTCTGCAAACCAGATTCTGAACTGCCGTCTTTGGTGTATAAAGATGAATCGAAGGTCGGTTTTCCATCTCACGTTAAATATCTAATCGTTGGAACCGGAACAGCTGGCCTGGCTGCCGCTCGCAGCATCAGAGCGTCGGACCCAAAGTCGCAAGTCTTGATGGTGTCTGGAGGCTCGGACCACTTATACGCTGGCGAACCCGGGATAGCGGAAACAAATTTTGTTGAGCCCCCTCCGTACCTTCGCCCTCCTCTGAGCAAGGAACTTTGGCGACGAGACAGGACTCGCGAAGCCAACCTACTTCAGACCGATGGAGATATCCGTCGACACTCTTGGCTATATTACGAGGCAGAAAGCTTCTATCTCAAACCAGAAGAGTGAGTCTTTTCCTACTTTTGAGTCAGTGTGTCAAATGCACGAGGCATGAGCGGTTGTGTTGTGAACCTAACTATTATATTTTACTGTGCGTACGTCACTCTTGTCAGTGGCCTCCTCTCTTTCATTATATTACGGGTTGATAACGCTCCTTTGTTCATTACGCATCAATGAGGTACATGTTAACGGAGTGTGGGACAGCTCCGAGGCACTCGCGTCTCCACTCCTCTTGTCTTCTGTTCGTATTCCTTGGGGCACGGGATTCGTGCGCGTCGCTGCGCAAGCCTCATGGCCGCACTGCGGGCACAAGCGTTGCGTGCTTGTTCGCGGTCTCAGTGATTGGCAAATTCATAATTTTTTGATGCCAATCGTATGAAGTTCTTCCATCCAGTATAGACCTACCTGCTCTCACTCAATGCCTATCCCCATCTTCTTTTTCTTTACCCACTGGTTGTTATCTATCTACTCCATGCTGATTTTGATATCGCATAAGCTCCACCTTGCTGCTTCAATTTGACCAGCCCATGCTTTTAACCCGTAGGTTGTACCTGATTTCTGTCGTTCTGCGAGGATAGTCATGACTACGAATCTTGTAGGATTGGAAGAGACGCGCGTTGTTGATGATTCCCGGCTAGTGACCGAGTGGTTCAGTCTTCTTATCCACAGATGGCGAGTTCGAGTCTGCCTGGGTGCGGCCCACCTCCTAGTGTCCCTAGCCCACATGTGATTGCTGGTGGTCGCGCGGCAATGAAGCGTCGGTACTAGTGTACTACATACCGGTGTATTACTGATACTTTCTCTTGCATCCGTAGAACAAACCGAGTATCGAACGACTTTTATAATGTGTTGCACTCATATGGTCTTATAGAACATCCTCTTGGTTTTTCCCAATGTCACGAAAACGAGCAACCCGCCGGAACTTCGAAGAGCAGCTTGCGACCGCAGCAAAAACAGCTCCCAAGAGGATCTTTGCATACGTGAACTGACGCTTGAAACCGACAGGTGATGTGCCTGTGTTGGAGGGCTCGGATAGACAGCCCCTAGTTTCCAGCACTGAGCGTGCTTCCGCATTGGCGACGCACTTCGCTTCCATTTTCGCAGATAACCAGGTGTCCGTACCGAGTTCGACATATATCTCCCCTACCGAGCTGGACAGCCTGGATTGTGCGCAAATTGCTCGCCACTCTTGACGGTACCAAGCCTGCCGGACGTGATGGGCTCCAACCGGTGATACTCAAGTCGCTACCGGCCATCATTTCGCCTTCGGTGACTGAGCTATTCAACAGGTCGCTGTCCGCTGGTTCATTGCCGAGCGACTGGGAATGCTCAGTAGTGAAACCGATTCCGAAAGGCGGCGATCCGAGCAAAGCGGACAACCATCGGCCTGACCTCTGTTTTGGCTAAGACACTCGAGAAGGTCGTGAAGCGAGGTCTTCTGCAGCATCTCGAGTCAAAAAGCATCTTGACGCCCGCGCAGCACTGTTTAATGAAAGTTCGGTCATGCATCACAAACCAGCTGCTCTCGAGGCACGAATGGTTGCAGGCTCTAAACCAAAGGAAGTCAGTTGACGTTATTTACATCGACTTCAGTAAAGCGTTTGATAAGGTGAACCATGAGATCCTCCTTCGGAATCTGAAGATATGCGGTGTTGGTGGCTCACTGCACCAGTGGACCAGTGACTTCCTTATTGGTCGGACGTGGAGGGTGCAGGTGGACAACTACTTGACTGATTGGTACCCCTCGACCAGTGGTGTCCCGCAGAGCACAGTCCTTGGACCCATTTTATTTCTGATCCACATCAACGAGTTGCCTCAGCTTCTCTGTTCACCTTACGCGTTTTTTGCAGATGATCTTAAGGTATGGAGGGTAATTGAGGCGCCCGACGACTGCAACCTGCTTCAGAGTGATCTTGACCGCCCTCCGTGTGGTCAGCAAAGGTCAGCCTTCCGACAAATCCGGTCAAGTCGGTATTCATGAGACTGGGCAACGGTGGTAATGGCCGAGTCTACAATCTGGCCGGCCAACAGTTGCACCCATCGCCATCCTTGAAAGACCTCGGGGTACTCTCACGCTGCGATTTGAAATCCGTTGAAAACACGAACAGGCCTTACCAAAACGGACTGCACATGCTCTGGGCGCTCAAACGCAGCTTCTGTACTTGGTACGAAGAGGTTGCCACTCGCCTCTTCTCTTCCATTATCAGACCAGTGCTAGAGTCCAGCTCACCCGCCTACTGTCCGCTCACTCAAGGCGAGGTGCAAACGATTGAGCGAGTACGGCATGTTGCCACAAGGCTCATCCCCGGTTTACGAGGTGCGCCATATGAAGACCGGGTTGACCTTATCATGATGCACCGTATATTAAATCTGGGCGAATTCCCCATGTTGAGACCGCTGCTGCTTCTGCGCACACCAACCAGCACACGAAGACACCGGTACAAGCTTGTCGTACCGGATTTGAAGCGGGTCGCTCACCAGCTCTGCTTCGAACGGAGGGTGGTGAATATTTGGAACAACCTGCCTGTAGAGATTGCGGCACAGTAGCTGAGGTGTTTCCCACCTCTAGCTAACGTGTATAGTGTGTGTATTCGTGTGCCTGCAGTGATAGTCGAAGCAAAGTCGCTGTCAGAGTTTAAGAACTCCTGGGCACACTCTTTGCCGATTTGAGATATCAGGCATAATCACCATCATAATAAGTGGATTTGCTTGAAAAATATTAGACGAAGCCACACAGAGGCACCTCTACTCGCCGCATTTTCTCAGTATCAGTACCAGTTTGTAAATTGTGATCTCCACAAAGACTTTTGGGGACGTTTGCGTTTATGTTTAGATTCTTGGATACACATGTCCCTAGGCATTCCCATTTATCCCATTTGTGTTTCCATGGTGGGTTTTACTAACAGGTGGTCGCGCGTATTTGCACTTTAATTTTACCTACGATACACATCTCAATCCCACCAGTCCCGTCTGATCCTTTGTTTCCCTGTGGCGTCCGATTTTATCTATTACTTATACAAGCGACAGTCAGGATGCCTATTTTGCGAGCAGCTCTGCAGTCTTGTTTTCCCTGGAACCGTCATCAGTGCGCATTCCATCAACCCGACGTCAAACAAGAACCTGCAAGCCCACTCTTAAGGGTCACTGGTTAAGACCACCGGACCGCGAGAGACATCAATTACCGGCATAAATAAGTTACCGGGGTATTGCGCGGCTCACTTTCCACTGACTATTACGTTGCTGCGGCACAGAGAGCAGAATAACCCCTCTCCTAATTGGTTGTAAAAAATTCAACTCACCATCCAAATCCCCCTACTGCTCCCTTGTAATTTGTAGTCTTTATCGGGCGTATGGAGTTTTAGCCGTTGGTGTGCAGGTGTCGGTGCTGAAGTCGTATGTCTCTTTCTTATTCATTGCATTTCGACCATAATTGAATGTTTAGACTGCGTTTTGGCATTCCTGACAAAAAAAGAGAAAAACCGGCGTGTGACAAACAAACTAAAAATGTTTTGTTCTGTATTTTTGTCAAAATATTCCATTTTCTTGCGGCATATTAGCTGAAGTGTGTTGCCCACCTTCAGCTAGCATGCCATGACGATTCTGACGCAATGACTGTCTCTTATACACTGATTTCCATGGTTTTCTTGGCTCTATGTCTAGTTACTAGACTGTTGAGATTACATACATACATACATACCTCCGAATCCCGCTACATTAAGTCTGACTTCATCCGATAGGAATGTTGAAAATGTGTCCACTCGTCCGATCTCACTGTGTCTATTATTTGTTGAAGGGGCACCCAGCCCATTACTGGGGAGTGATGGGCTGTCCAAGTTGTTCACTTGCTGTTTCAAAGGATGGTCCCATCATGAGTCGGGCTACGTCCTGGCGACTGTCATTTGCGCGTAGTTACAACAAATTCACACTTGATGTGAGTCACCAGGAGGTACAAGTCCCTTGTACATATATCTACTGCCCAAAAAACGGGAGTGTGCCGTGTCACATTCGCATCCTGTTTGTGTTTACGATGGCTCTGGGTTATTGTCGCACACATTAGCCTACCCGCCGTCTGCTTGTCGGGGAAGTGTGAGCTTGCATTAGAAATAGAGAGAATACAACGTATTTTCTCTGTGGTCCTTCTACAAGGCGTGATCGTATGTTAGTTATTTTCTCAATCTTCTGAAATGCAACTTCGAAAAAGTGTTACTAGTTGAACCGCATCCACTCCATATGATCTCCGAGTGTGTAACTGACGGAATAGTCTCAAATTCATCTTAGCGAATTTCAATGCCACGAAATATAAGACATGTATCGCCGCTCCATGGTATTAGCTCTCGTAATGTCCCTGTTTCCAAGCCTTCTTTCAGTGGAGTACGGTGGTGTGGCACTTCTTCGTGGTGATCCAGTGGCTAAGCTCGATCCCGACACACACATCGCGACTCTGGTGTCTGGGCGCACTATCACATACGACCGATGTTTACTGGCTACTGGAGGCCGACCAAAGAGACTGAAGCAACTGGAAACGTGTGAGGCAACTGGTAAAAATTTGGTGGCTTCCGGATTGGTATCCTATTTCCGCAGCCTGGGTGACTACAAGTGAGTGTACACCTCATCACACTGTTGTATCTAAATTCGCTTTATGTTATTTCTCTTCACTTGTCTCGAAATGGTTCCAATGTATAAATAGGCGTTGAAATGGATTTTCCTGTGTCCTGAAACATCACTCTTTTAGAACCATTTTGAGAGTCACTTTCTTGACATCCGATACACAGCTGTTATTAGCCATAGCATTAGTTAGCAGTTAGGCCTTCAGATCTGAGTTTCTTACTTCACCCCCTTCATAGAATCTTTGACTGCATAACACGATTTGTCGACTGCACGTAAGACTACCCAAACGACGAATTGTTACTCCCTAAAGAGCGAAGCTGGTTGACATCTTGCGTGTGATTTTCTAGGGCTGTGGTCGGCACTCACGCCGTCTGCTTTTTAATCGTTTGAACACGGAGATGTCCTTGCCGAACACGCTGCATACGTTCTGTTGTGCTGTTGTGTTCCTTTTTTCCATGACGATACCTTCGTATTGTGTCCATTCAGCTATACTCCGACCATCTCCACATGCTTCTTGAAGAGGCGAAAATTAACGGAAGGTCACAATCGGTTCCCTCCTGTGATTCTTCTGCACCCAAAAACCGCGTTTCGGCTTGCCATCGGAGAGAGATGAGTCCCAAACGTATTTCCCAACGCTACAGATTTACAACATAACCGTACACACCTTTTCCGCGCGTACCATTTGCCGCATTTTGCATCTTGCCTAACAAATTGTATAACGAAGCATATGCATGTAGCTTATTTACAACTAATCTCATTGTTATACTCATGGGTGGAGGATTTTCGATGTACTTACCTTGGGGTTATTCCTATTAGCTTCTAAGACAGTCTCACACGCCCATAAAAGCACTAGACGGCCGTCTCGCCCCATCGGGACTCATCACTATGGAGCATGCCTCTACTCCATCGCAATTAGTTTGTAAATCATGACGCTCTGCCACCGTCTGCCAAAGCCTAGTGGTATGAGCTGCTGACTAGTGAGATAAGCCGCTAGTGGTCATGAGTGCGGATATTGATGGAACCAATGAATGCGCGCTAATAACAAGTGCAGTAAGGACGAAGCAACTGTCTAGTGTATGTGTGTCTAGTGTATGTGTGACTTAAAAACTACTTCGAAGAACCCACAATTAATAACCTCACTGTTTTAACCCACCGATGTTTATCCTCTGAGTTTCACGTACTCACGACTGGTGGTGGTCGTATAGCGGCGAAGCGTCGGTGCAGTGCGCTGGTGTACTACTCGTGTTGAAAGTGTTTAGAGCACTTATAATCGCCGTGGTCTGCACGACATTTCTTGTTCTCATTTTGCATTCCTATTCCCAATCCTGTCATCTCTTCATTCACGTGGTTTTTGTGGTTTTACAAAAAGCTAGTCCTTTGAAAGTCCACCATCTCGCCCATTTTCCTTGCATGTATGAACCCAATAATGCAACATCTTTGCTCGCCCTATTGAGAGTGTTAACTTCATATTTGCATTATATTTCACTTTGAATCGGGAAACAAAGTTATCTCTTTCACAAATGTTTACACGCAACCGGCGTCCTGTGCTTTCATATGTAATGTGACTCAACGCAATCTTGATGTAACTCATATCGACTATAAGACTTTAGTAACCATTATTTATGTCATTGACCTGGACCTATGTATTGGGACTCGTCTCGTGGCTTTTGTCATTGTCGCCAGAAACTTGGTGGGACCAAACTAAACTTCAACATAGCTAACTTGTCTCCATCTGGTTCATTATTGAATTGCACTGTCAGCAGTACGACTCTTTGCTCGCATACTGCACCTGTAATCGTCACACTATCATGTTTGCTTCCAAATGTTGAATCCAGAAGAGACTGGAACCTGTCAGGAAAGCCCATTTTAATTACCGAACGATTTGAATCAACAATGTTTAACAGAAGTATCAAATGGTTCTAGTAACACTCACCATTAGTTGGAAAGAATCTCGACCACTAGTTTTGACACTGGCCTTATTGTTCTACATTTGTACATTCCTGAGTTAGGCCATACATATGCGTTGATTTCGGTCTAATTGTACTTTTCAGTAGCTCGCTCTTCAACATGCTTTTACATCAAATCATTAACGTTATTTTGATTGAATGGAACTCGCTGGAATGAGCGCTTCAACTGGAAGCGCAGCCGTTGCCACTGTTTCAACTGTTTTTGCGTTTTTCTGTAGTTTAAAGACAGTCTTCCGGTAGTGTTGTCGAACACTGCACTTTCTCAGTCCAAGTCTTATAGACGAAAATTCCTCATCACTGTTAACTTTTCCGCAACCCAAACGGAGCTCAGCCCTGATTCTGAGCTTCCAGTTACCTGAAGTTTGATAAACGCTGTGTGTGGTGCGTACACATACTTTGTATGTCCGACTTTGTCGCTCTTTTCACTCATAATCAAGGTCGATGAGTACATCACTCCTGTCATGTTTTACACTTCCTGCTGCTTGCAGGCACCGTGTTTACCTCCCAGTCATGCGACTCTACTTAGCGTATTCCACCATATTTTCTACAGTTTGTGCTGGCAACCCACTAAAAAAACCTCTTTTTGTCCATTTAACCGAATTTTCATCCTTTTTTAGACTTACCGTCTAATGCAGTTTAATTCGAGAGCGCTATCAATGGAAACAAGTCTTCATGTGTTGATGTCAACCGATTTAGTTCAGTTCACTTGATCAATTGCAATCCAGAAACAGAGCGGAATTATGCAGCATTCTATTTAACGAATCTCATCACGCCACTACCATTAAGCAGCATTTGAAATTAAGTGAACTTATGCGGACCAATACACAAGCTTTTATATGACTGAAATGCGGACAGAGGGATGTTCTACCCATTGAATAGATGTTGACAACCAAGCGTGGTGCACAAAATTCATTAGCGCAACTAAATCTAGTTGGATAGGGTATGCCACCACTGGTATGGCTGATGTTGAAGACCAATCAAATTCTTTGATCACTTTTTATTCCCGTTTTACATGCTATTGGCTAGCCCGTTTGGATCTTCAGTCAATCGGACACCGTGTTGAAAACTGACACGTGCCGACGTAAATGACTAGTGCCTTCGGTGGTGGGCGAATCGACTGAACACTTCAGGTGTTTGCTAGTTGATATTGAGAAATGGCACAATTAAGGCCCGGTCTTGCTACATCACCTCGCAATTTGAAGGTCAAAAACGCATACCGAGCCGTGCAGCGATTCACATAGATCTGTGGTTGGCGGTATCTAGTTTCGGATTTGCCTGTCGCTGTGGCCAGTCACGGGACGCCTGCGCCTCCAGAGGGACCATAATTGGCTTGCGCTTCACCACCCAAAGCTCCATCCACACACTCCTTATCCAGTGTAAACTCGAAGGAATAAAACCGGGAGACATGTGGATGGGAGCCACGTTTCAATAACGGAGCCGGTCCACACTCCTTCTCAGGCATACACAAGCATCCTGTATTTGGGAATCAATCGGACACAAGGCGGTGGCTAGACCGTAGTCACCTCCACACTGAGTGCACGGAACCACCCTTCGAGCTTAACACGGCCACAAGGACCGTGCACCCCGTCCCTTCCAGCAACGACCAACTGTCTTCTGCAGCCAGTATGGACGAGGTAGTGGGTATTCGACAGGTAGGCATCTTGTCAACATTCACATAAAGTGCAGCCACACCGAGGATGGCAAACAACAGTCATTCACTTGTTATGACATTATCAAATAAAATATATCTGTTAAAACATACGGCTTTGCCGACATAACTCTTCGCTAACAGCATATGAAGTCAGTTGGTTAGCAACAAATCCGCTATAAGTACAAAATGTCCACAAGTTATTCAAAAAATGCCACAAACGCGAGAATGTTAACGAAGATAACTACAATTAGCGTAAGCAACGAGTGCAAGTTAATAGATTATTCAGGTAGGCAGAACAAACCACATAAGGTGGAATGAATTTTTTCCAGCTTAAAAAGTTCTGGCTTAAGTGTAAGTTGGTGTAGCCCAACTGCGGTGAAGAGGCATCGTGAGCCCCAGCATGGGATATATATATATATATATATATATATATATATATATATGGCAGAATGCCACAACACATGAGTAAAACCAACAAAAAGGAGGAGAGTCAGGGTAAGGGATGTAAAAATCCATGTGTTGTGTGGGCAGAAATCTTCCCGGTTGCCCAGGTCGAGGACGAGCGTTGACTTAAGGTACCCCACCCCTAGCATTTGGTCTTATAGACCTGACCCGCAAGGCAGCGGTGCGAAGACCGTTGATGTGTTCGGTTGCAGTCCACAGAGAATCCGGTGGCCAGCAGGGTTATTAATCCGCCCTCCGTTAATTACTTATCTCCAGTTACAGAAGTGAGTGGCCAGTGACTCTGTAGCCAGTCACCTTAGCTTTGACACAGCGCTGTACGAACTCTTGTGGTATTTGATGGAGAATCAGGTGACCAGCCCAGGACTTCACACTCTGAAACGCTGCTGCTGATTGTCCGCGACTGCTTATTCATCACTTGCAAAGCAGACGAGATTTATTTGTAGTTACCTCCACAAGGAAGGTATTACCCAGTCCGCAACTTAAGGACGCGCCCGAAACTATGCAGCTCCGCCTTCGTAGTCCAAAGTGGCTCTATGTGGCACTAGCGGATCCGTCTCAAAACATCAACTGGCAGCGTCCTATATCGTTTCTTAGGTGCTCCTGTCAGATACGAGAATCGCTCCACGGGAATAACTTAAATTACTGTTATCAATGTGCATTAGCCATGCCTCCGATTCGTACAATGCTGCCAGCAATGCAGTGCTCGATGCTGCTCTTGCGATTGGAGCGTAGCGAAGAGCTGTGTAATCTCATCGTCATTCCACACTTGCGCTGTTTGAGGAACACCACCATATTTTGGAGATTTGGTTTATCCTGTCAGATGAACACTGTTGTCTGCAGTAACTTGATTGTCGCTCGTTCTACCTCAGTAGTAGAATCAACTGTCTAACAAATTGACATAGAGCCAGACGAATGCAAGAGATTCAGCGGATGACAGGCGGAGTCGCCGCAGCATCCTCAGTATAGCACATTAGTTAAAGGTGAGCAACACACTTCAGCTATTGTGCGACAATACAGAAAAACGGGATCCTTTTCGTTATTATTTCACGCGCCATTTTTTCATTTTTTTAATTGTTAGGCGTTAAGTATTTGAATCTAAACCAGTATGTGCACAAATCGATTCCGGTTGTGAGCCATATCCTGAGTTGTTCCGAGCCATCGGTACTCTTCGTCTTTAAGTCCCCAACAAGGCAGATTTGTGGATCCAACGGCAGCATGAGTTGAAACCAATGGTTTCATATCCTGTTGCCAGGTGGGTGGTTGACCGCCACTTGGTTCCTTTCATTCGAGTCCTGCACGAGCAAACAGTACGCGATGTAGCAGACGCTCAGCCGGCATACACAGGACGTGGCCGAGCCATCTTAACTGGCGCAGTAAAACCAGCTTGTTGAAATGAATACTCGCATTTCCTAAGGCACGACGTCTGACTTCACCGTCGCATATACGCTGTTATCAACACACATGAACAATTCTCCTCAAGCACCCATTATCAATGACCGAGAGCCAGCGCATGTCATCTACACGGACTGACCACGACTCACTGCCGTATAGCAACACCGCCAGAACTGTGGCATTATAAACACGAGCCTTAAGCAAGAGTGAGACGTCCCGACGACGCCACAAGTGTTGTAGGTTGACAAACGCAGACGGGGTTTTGGCGATACGGAGAGAAATTCCTTTGCTAATAGCGCCACCAGCAGACATACAGCTGCCTAACTGTGCAAAGCTGTCAACATGTCCCAGCCGTGTGCCTTCAAGAGTGAGCACGGGAACGGGAGAGCGCCAGTCCTGGAGCAACACTACACTTCGGCGTGTGAAGCACATTCTGTACTTAGATGCCTCAATCACCAAACGGTCTAGAATGGTTTGCATACTCTGTGACTCGTCATCAAGTAGTGCGATGTCATCGGCATAATCTAAGTCGGTTGCTCGCTTACCCGGTAGTAGTTGCAGACCAAAATGCTGGTAACCCTCCAGAGCTCTCGATAGAACGTCTTCAACCGCAAAATTAAAGAGAAACGATGACATAAAGTAGCCCCGTCGCCCACCGCTATTGACAGTGAAGGACGAAGAAAGCTTGCCATAGACCCTCACTCTGCCGAAGACGTGGAGATAGAGTACGCACAGGATGGTTGCGTACTTTGCTGGGACCACGTTCCTTAGCAAGCAACGCCATATCGCAAGTCGGTCAACCGAGTAGAATGCTGCACGGATGTCTAAGAATGCAACGATGGTAGGCTTCTGGTAGAGGTGGCGATGTTCGAGGATTTGGCGGAGCGTGAATATTTACTCCACATACCTACGGCCAGGACGGAAGCCAGCATGTTCTTCCCGATGCTGTGGTTCACGAAACGGGGATAGTCTACGAAGTAGTATGGATGCCAATAGCTTTGAGGCAACTGAAATGATACTAATCCTCTAGTGATTAGCGCATAAAGTGCGGGCACCCTTTCTAAAAATTAGGACAATAACTGACTCGCCCCAGGAAGAATGCACCTCCTCTTCATGCCAGATATTGGAGAACAATAAGCTTAGCTTACTGGTGATGACTTCGGCACCATATTTGAACAGCTCCGGAGGAAGTCCGCCTGACCCGGTAGCCTTCATTCGCTTCAAATGCCGAATCGCAGGACAAACTTCTGCTTCACTAGATGGGTCGAGTGTAACGACCCAGGGCGGGCAGCTGGCTTCGCAGAGAATACAAAGATGTTCGACCATCAATCCAAGTGTCTCTGTAGGTTAGTTAATATTCGGCGAACTGTTAGCTATACAAATTGTCTCACTGACACCAGGCTTCTTATGTCCAGGGGAACGAATGTGTTTGCGTGTATTGCCAGAGAGGGAAGCTGCCTCCATTTCCGAAGCACGCTGGGACCACCAGGTTTCGCGGTCACTGTGTAGGCTTTGTTTGAGCTACCGACTGACAGAACGGCGCCCTTCCTTATGATCAGACTCTGCTGAGATGTTTTTGTGGTAGTCACATAGATCCAGACCTTCATAGAGTGCTAAGTAGGACCACAAACTGACTGTGCGGAAGCGATTATGGTCTTCTGCATGAACGTCCAATATTCACCGATGTTTTGGGGTGGGTCGCAGCTGAGTGCATGGGCCAGGGGACCTTGATAGCTCTGCTAAACCGAGGGGGCAGATCATCCTAATCATTATACACGGTAAATGCAGGTGGAAAACACCTTAGCTATGGTGCCGCAGAGGAGCAGATAGTTTATTAGAATCTACTCTACAGTACTTCTTTTTCGGGGACCCTCCGAAACTCATGCAGGTGTTCACACAAACAAGAGCATGGTCTTAGGCGAGAAATGTGGACCAAATGGATTTGCAATCCTTTACACTACTCCGCCATCTGAAACTAGTTGCGATATGATCAATCCGGGACCATGACTGAGTAGCTCTTGGGCGTCTCCTCGAATGTCTGAAGCTAGTGCTCGAGAGAAACAGGCGATTGTCTTCACACAGTGTGAGGAGTCTTTCTCCTTTATATGAGCGGCTCTCATCGTGCGCAACGTGACCACCGAGGTGACTTTCTTATGACGATAGGTGACCAACCCGAGCGTGGAGATCTCCAGCAAGGACAACGATACCGAATTTGTAAGCTCTGTTTAAGAGCTGGTGGAGTTCACGGTAGAAATCGTCCTTAACCGAGTCGCAACTGCTATCAGTTGGAGCGTAAGCTGAGATCACAAACAAGTTGCCTCTCTCCCCACGATCTTTGTTGATCATATACGATCCCCGAAGTCGAATTGCATATAGCCGGCTGTTAATCGGGAGCCACTCCAACAGTGCGGCCTCGGCTTTGCTACTTAGTACTACATCAACGCCAGCCAAGCCTACCGCGGCTGCTTCTGTGTCACCACATAGACGTAGGTGAAATATGGTTCTGTGATCGGTGGAAAACCTCAACTCAATCCCAGTACTTGGATCTTGCAATAGGGTCTCGGAAAGACAGCAAAATCAATGGCGAAGGATTCCGAGGTGTGCGCAAGACAAGCCTACTGCCCGATCTACATCATTGTACATACATTAAAGCATGCCATACGGAACAAGGATCGTGGCCGAAGATAGGCCACGGGTCAAGCTCTGTGGTCGCCGACGAACCCATCGGGAGTAGAATCATGGAAACATCTGTTTCCAGCTGGCAATGGTTGGTAACAAATGAACGGGTGGCTTGTGAAGGTGTGTGAGCAGCGGAAGCAGGTGTGGTTAAGCGCGGTATAGCAGATAGACGGTCCATGGTTTTGTCAGTGGGTGTGATACTATCTGGTTGCCAAGCCGAAGTAGGGAGTTGTCTTAGGGGACACCGTCACGATCCGTTGGCTAAACAGCCTACCTGCAAGGCAGCGTACGAATTCAGGGAATCGCGTCTATTGGGAGCCAGTGACCGATTACTCAGTTCATACGCCTTTCGTTTGATCGGTTACCAGACAGTGGCCAACCCTCTCCATGACGTCAGCACATAAATGCTGAAGTACAATGCTCCACCTGAGCGAAGCAAGTGGCACAGACTTTATTTAGTGGCCAGTCACATCCACCACGTCACAGTGTTGTTAAACAGACGTATATAGCTTTTTACAGGGAGAACGCTTGACAAGCGAAAACTCGCCACGTCCTGGAACACTGCCGCCGAACTATTTGCTAGAGTGGGGTAAACCCGAACAACCCTGCTGGCATCACGAGGAGGTAGTTCGGGAAGGCAGCTCTTCCACCTCGAGATTAATTCCGTTTTACCGCGTTGTAACCGTGGGCTTGAAATTCGAGATTAGCAGCTGGTTTTTGTAGACATTTATCTTTAAGTGTAAAATAGAATTTTTTCACCTTACATATGCTGCCATTATACACCACCATAAATGAATCATGCGACGTGGGAGAGATATCCACAGGCGTGCTGTATTGATAATCTTGTGCCCAATCGCATAGGCTTCAGTTTGTTAACCATGTTCTGAAAACTCCATTTGTTAGAGGTTAAACGACCCTCTAACACGACACACTGTGGTTTTCCGCATCTATCCTTTATCCTAACAGCCAAGCCGCGTGTGATTCAGTGATGTTGAGGGGCTATCTACATAACAACTTCTTATTTCTCATTGTGGCGTGACTCTTTCGGTAATTAGTATCTGTCACCTCCCCTATTTTGTCACATCATTCTGATGAACTCATTGTAACCTTTGTCATTGCCCTTCATTCTCACTAGTTTTGCATACATCCTTCTCCCTTTAGGCGGTTACGCGACCTGACTGATAAACTTCGGAAGACCGAAGGCAAAATTGCTGTCATTGGTGGCGGCTTCTTGGGAAGCGAACTAACAGTCAGTCTTTTAACCCGTCCAAAGCGATCCAAGGAGTCAGAAAATCAAGAGAGATCTCCTGAACGCGCGGAGTCTAGCGACCGAAGTATATCAGTACTCCATGTGTTTCGTGAATCTCTCCCGATGGGACATACTCTCCCCCCATGTCTTTCTTCTGCAACGGCTCGCTTCGAGACGACATGTGGTGCTGAGCTTTGGCCATCCTCTGAGGTCGTCTGCGCTTCCGTTGTTTCCGCGAATGAAATGGACGAGAAAACTGTAAGCAAGACACCACCTACTAGTTTGCAACTCGCGACTGTCAACGATGTGTCACCTGAAAAAGTACGTCTACGCATCCGTCAGAGTGGGTTCGCTGGGGATCGTGTTGAGGAGGTCGATGTGGATCACGTCGTGTTGGCGGTAAGCCGTTGGAAACGCTTATCTATTTTCCGTCGTTTCAACAATGTGTCGAATTACTTTTGGCTATATAAATTGAGCCGTTGTGTCTGCTGTTATGGAACATCAGTGATGATACGATTAGGCACACAATTATTTTTAGGTTTCCCTCTAGGCACCAATGTCGGTATGATTTCCGTTCACGGTCAGGCGGCTGCACGCATGCGGATGCGGTAGATCCCCCATTTTACGTGGCTCAGTTGCGGAGTCATTGCTCTCTTTTGTACACTGTTTTTTTTCTTGATGGGTACATCATTTTTCTCCCGGGGTAGTTCTCCCATCAGACAGTTCATTTGTACCCAGATAAGCCGCTTTTTGTTTAACTAAGAGATCTATCTCGATTTTGGTGAAACCGCTTCCGGTATCACCCCAAATTTCATTATCGTCACGTCATTCCGAGTATTCTGCGTGTCACAATCGTAGATTTGTTTGTCAAGTGCAATCTTGAAATTCTACGTGCCAAATATTGGATTGACCGCCGCCTGTTGGGCTAGAATAGTTTGGAATCAAAGCAACACCCGCAGCACGATCTCACTATCACGTGCCGGGAAGTGGGAGGGTTCTTCCATGCTGACTTAGACTCCGTTGAGTGATCCTAGGTTGGATCGCCGGATCGCTCAATATAAGGCCACCTGGATTCTCGTTTCATATGGTGCCCACTCCATGTATGTCGCTTGTGATGTGCCTTCGTCGGCTGAATCAGTTTTCCGGACGAACAGTAACCAGTGCATCACCATTATTACACGTTGGCTAAAGATGAGAAGCACCTCAGCTATTGTGCCGCAATACAAAGGATAAGATACATGAAAAACCGAGATATTAAAAATTACACGTTACGAAATAAGGTGACAAGTAACATAACGCTTAGGGTCCTATTTCTGCATCGAGTGTGGGATCGTGGTTGGAAAGGGAAAGACAAAGAAACGCTGTTCAGAATGTTTTTTTGCCATGTCAACAAGTACATCCAACCAGACATGTTCATTGTCCTTAGGACCTTAAGCTAGCAGTCGGCAGGCACCAACGGACGCTAGGTTCGAAGTGAAGGTCTTCATTCCTCTTAACCAAGTCATCGGTTGGTCTTCCCTCCTCTTCCATCCAGACCGCGGTCGCGTAAACAACGCACCTCGCGGAAGTCCGTGGGCTGGAATGCGCAACATTTGACCCAGCCTTTGGAGTATGGTGAGCAACATAACGGTGCTGAACGGTTTACTCGCTCTTCCTGCACCAAACGCGAGACACCGAACACGCTCATTGCTCACACGGTGTTCCCACTAGACATGAGCATCAGTGTTAAGACACCTGTGGTCCATCGTAACTGGTCCCTTTATCTCTATCTATTTGGTGGGCCAGGTTTCGTAACCGAACAGGTGGGTTGAATGCACAGTTGCATCGTAAACTCTGCCCTTCAGGGTGAGTGTGATGTCGCGTCTGCACCCCAGACGGCGAAGACGAGCAAAAGCGTGATCTCACCTATTCCACAGGTGTTAATGTAATAGCCTTGGTACTTGAAGTTCTGGGTGACTGAGCACTATTAGGGGTTAGCGCATGAGCGGGTCCCTGCTAATCCTGGAGAAGGACTTCGCATTTCGAAGGTATGAAGCACGGTCAAAAGCCGCTGTCAGCCAGTGCTAATTTGTCCATTGCTGCTTGATACGCTTTCGAACAGTCACAGATAGGGCCATCATCTGTATACTATAAGTCAAGAAGTCGATCACTTGGAAGCAACTGCACACCAAGTAGATCATGCGCAGCAAATACAGTTTTCATGACTTCATTGATGGAGAAGCTAAAAATGAGTGGTGACAGCGGCAAACCTTGTCTCAAAACGCTGGAGCTATTGAAGGGCTGAGACAGTCTGCTATAAGCCTTCACTGTTCTCCAGCTACGTGCATAAAGCGCCCTGATGATGTTTAAGTATTTCTCCGACACACCACCCTTCATTAAGCAACCTCAAAGGGAACATTGATCCACCGAATCAAAGGCACCTTTAATGTCTAGGAACAGTATTACGGAGGATTGCCCTTACACGTCTCGCTGCTTCAATAACCGGTGCAAATTGATGCGATCAAACCACTCTCTATTTCGACGAAATCCAGCTTCATTTTTACGAATGTGATTTTTACGGGTGCCAGTCAATCTGTAAAGAACGACAAAAGTAAGTAACTTGGGAGCGATAGAGATCAGACAGGTTCCTCTATGATTGCGGCATTCCGAATGTGTGCGTCCATTGAAAATGATAACTATACCGGAGCTGCTTCAGTTTGTTGGGACAGTCTACTGCGCCCACAGCCTCACTAGTAAGTTGTGCAAATCATCCATGAGAGCTGCCCCCCCCCCCCGAATTCGGAAAGGGCAAGGGGAATTCTATCTTCTCATGTGGCCCGTTAAATTTCAGCGGTCTGATCCCACGTTCAACTTATGCGCGTATGGGTGGATCCAAGAGGACGGCACAAGGAGTGACTGCCGCTGGCCGCTAGGGAAGCTGGTAACTCTGGTTGATTAAAATGCTTTTCAAAGTGCTCGGTCCAACGCTCCAGGTGTTTTGAGGAGCTGTAAATTATCTGTCCACTCTCGTTGCATGTAGATTCACTGGTAGCAGGTCTGTTGCTGCCCGCTTCTCGTATCAGACGAAGTAACTTGAAATAGTTACCAGGATCAGCAACGATTACCATCTCCGATTCACGATGAAATCAACAGGATTCGCGGTCTTTCGTCAGGCTAGCGCGCAGTTTTACCCTGAGATCTTTGCTAGTCTCGTCGTGTTCGCTCCGAGCCGTTATGTGCCGGCGAGCTTCCAGAAGTTCCAAAGACTGTAAAGCCCCAATGTCCAAGCTGGCAGTCGGATTTACCACATGATCACATACCTGCTGCTAAAACCTTTGACAGATATGCGACCACTGACATATGTCCAGAGAGTACTTAGCTCAGATTCACTCATTATATATGGCTTTGTCAGTTGGCTGGTGTCCGTGCGCTCCTAAAGTCGTCGCAGGCGTCCGCCGAAACGAAATTGTGGATCGGCACATGTGCATGGAGTTTACGCTGGTGCTTCAAAGTGAGGGGCGGTTTCCGACATAATCTCTACAACGGTAACGTTGCGATGGGATCAGTTGCCGTCCATGGATGGTGGACGCCATGTTTACCTCCGGCGGCTGCTGCGTCGGAAGCTAGTGCTCGCGAGAAAATAGACGGGCATCTTCACACAGATGTAACAACCACTCACTTTTATCATTACGGAAACCTACACCGTGTTGGTCGCCCAGATGTACTCATCAGTGGACTATTTTCCAACTTGAGCTTACAGTTCACCAGCCAGCAAAACAGTATCCGTACTTTTGTGATGAGTGAGCGCGTTAAGTTGGTGATAGGAGTCATCTCTCACTGAAACAGCACTACAGTTTGTGGAGAAATTAGCAGCAGTGACAAACAGGCACCGTTTATCTCCGCGCGGCTCCGAAGCTATGAACGAGCCAGCCAATCTGACGGCGCAAATCCCGTTGTTTATTGGGATTCAGTATATCAGAGCAGTTTCAACCCGGAGGGGGGGCTCAGATCAATATCCAAACCTTTTTAACCGGCATTTGCAGTTGCGTTATCCCCGGACGAGTACAATGAGAAAATGCCGTCGGTATCGCATGAAGAGGATCGCAGGGTGAGCACAGGGCTGGAATCTTACATGTGGGTTCCCGTTTAGTAGCAGATATCGATGAATAGAGTCTATAGTATTCGGGATAGTGCTGCCTGCTAGCCAATCTACAATAACATGCGCATATTGAGGCATTACCGTCATAGCGAGGATCGAAGGTTCCAAATAGCTAAAGTTTGGTTGAGCTTGCACTTATCAGTGTGGCAAAAGTGACACTCAAGGTGTGTATGAGTCGAAACTTAAAGACAAGCTACTGTCGAAGCAAGATTGGGGCGATCCAGGAATAGGGGGGGGGGTAGAAAACAAGGGAGATAAAACTGAGGTTGGAATGGGACGATAAGAACAAAAAATGGACAGAATAAGAAGACAGGGAGGCATGAGCAGATACGGTAGATAGGGTATCGTTGATTATCCTCTGTGACAGTCAGAACATCAAGTAATCGTGTGGAGAGAAGTTTATTGTATTGTATGGGTAGGATACTGTCAGGTTGCCCAGGTCCGGACAGGAAAACGATTGGGGTTCTCAATCAAGGCGTTTGATTCAAAAACCTGACTGCAAGGCAGCAGGGTTTTGGCACTGGGCTATAGATAGTCCGTTTTATGCTATAAAGTGATACCCTCGCCCCAACCTGGAGAGACAGGAGACTGACTTTGTCTGGCCTCTACCCACTGACCAATATGGCATGATCGGACCTGAAGGTGCAGGAAACATCACCCAGTAGAGCTCAGTGGATCACCGAGGCACACAAACCATCGCACCGCGTTATGGTCTAGACTCCTGTTTCCCCCACTTACTTGTGAGAGAATGTTCTGTTCACTCCGATTTTCGCACTAATTTCGTCATGTTCATCCTGTAAACTTATAACTAGTTTCCTCGCTCAGCAGACAAGATTTTACCGTAGCATCTTTCGCTCCTTTGACGAGATTGCTACGTGCATTTTTTTATCACATTTACTCACTGTTCGCTATTCTTTCGCAGCTCGGAATCGAACCGAACACAGATCTTTCGGACCATGCCGGATTGGAGGTGGATCACAGAAACGGCGGATTTCTCGTCAATGCAGAAATGGAAGCCCGTGCTGGAATCTATGCGGCCGGTGATGCTGCCTCCTACTGGGACCCGGTTTTGGGCTACCGACGACGCGTGGAGCACTTGAACTTTGCGGAAGAAACAGGAGCACTAGCCGGAAGGAATATGGTAGCATCCCTCTCTCCTACAAACGATGGCGCGAATCACGGGGCTAGTTCTCGTGTGCCTGCTCGATACCAGTATCAATCCTCATTCTGGTCTAGCTTGGGTTCCGAGGTCAGCTGGGATGCCGTGGGTTATGTTGACTCACAACGGCTGCTTACTCGATCCTTTTTCTTGTCAAACGAAGAGGGGGCGCACGATACGAAGACTTCAAATGGTTCTTCACGCCTAAGCGATTCTATCCCAGATTCCGAATTCGGACGTCTTGGTCGGGGAGTAGTGTTTTACCTGACACCTTCTGAGAAAAGGCTTGTTGGTATCCTTCTCTGGAACTTGCCAGAAGAAATCTACTCTGACAAAGAGTATACAGCACCTAGCCGATTGAATATTGCTCGGAATATGTTGGCCGGAAGACATCTCATCGGCAAAAGCCCCGTTGATCCTCTTGGTGGGGTCCTGGAGTCCGAAGAAGAACAACTTCGACGCTTAGCCTCCTACTTTGACTTACCTGGTACACTTGAAGCGGACTACAAGGAAATCAAATCTTATGCCGAGGCAAAGCGACAAGAACTGCTGAAGAGTAGTCCTACCACTCCTGGCGAGCAGGAAACCATCACCCCTCCCATCGATTGATGATGCATTGTACCTGTTTTTGCCTTTTGTAGCTAGGTTACCACTTTCAATCATTTCTACTCATCAACATCTTCCCTTCCTATAAATTTTGTACAGTGTGCGACCACGCGAATCATAGGATTTATGGATAAAATATCTTCTGCTTTGTTCGCGCTCGGATTGCATGTTTGTGTGGGTTATGCCGTGGCCATCAGTTGGTGCTTAGCAAGACTCGCTTCGAACGCAACTGGACTCCTTCATTGTTGGAATTTTGTCACCCATTGATCTCTCTCTGTTATGTAGCAACAAGGCAAATAAAGTTTGCTTACAGTTGCAAACATGATGATAGACGGTTAGCAGGAAAATTCTGGAATGTAGCGTTCACGCACTGCGAAAGATTACCGTTTGCTCAAAAGCATCACTGAAGTCAGTTACCTTGGCACCGCGTTTAGTCGAGTTGTGACGTTCTTCACAAAAGTCAACTGGGAAGAGGTATGGTTCCTGAACTCCTTTATTTTTCTGGCCATCCTGAGACGCATTTTCAGCATTCAATCTGCCAATGAATTTCTGGAGAACAGGATGGATAAATATAGTCATTCACGGATACTGAGGTATACGCGCAATGTGTACTAGTCTCTAAAAACCAGTTCGTCCAGTGCCTTCGATTCAGGTGGCTTGAAAGTTATACCTTCCGTTAACCCTTCCCGTCCTATTTCCTTCCCGATAGGCAGTAATGCAGCGCGCAGATATACACAAGCTATGCAGACTGATGAGCACTAGGGAGTCGCCTACTGTGGCGTTTCATTTATCGAATTATCTGATTTAGACACCTGCAGTTGTGTACATGGGCGGAGTCAGACAGTTGTGTTTCCTGAAAAGCACAATAAGAAGACGAAGTTCGGCAGATGTATGCATTTCGTATCGTCTCATCAGTGCCGATAACCATAACCGGTAATTCTAAACGACAGTTTGTGGGTACGGACAGCCTCAGGCTGTCCTGGTTGTAGAAGAAAGACACCCGCTTTTTCTGTCGTTTGTTTGTTTGTATGTATGTCCGTTCCCACAAACTGCTGTATAAAATTACCGGTTATCGTTATCGACACTGGTGAGACGACACGAAATGCATGCATCTGCCGAACTTCGTGTTCTAGTTGTTTCGCCATCGGTGGTTTCTCCTGTATCTCTTGAGAAATCAACGCACCTTCTCATGAAAAGCTGGACTCCGTACGAAGCCTGATGTATCCTTTCGTGTGGTACCTGCCAGTTAACATTTTCTTTTAAATTCGTATACTGCAGCTTGTACTGAAGGATCGCTTTTGAGCGAGCGCACTACAATGCAAGTCGAGTCTGAATCGGATCCACCTCCTCTGAAAATGAAGGTGAGCTCATTACTATTCTCCGAATAATATGAATTAGAGATCTACTGTCATGCTTGTCGTTCTTGTTGCGTTTAAGATTTGGCTCGGAGTTTCTTCCATCCGACTAGTGGCCACTCAAGCTCGGAAGCCTTTTGTTCAATTGGTGGTAACTGTCCAACGTTCCTGTTAAAGATCTTAAAATTTAGGATTGTTTCTGTCCACCCGTCATTTTTGATATGTATCATCAACCCTATTTGTCCATAGTGTTGGCGTAATCTCCAGTTAACCAATATTAGGCGACTGAAATTGACTAGTGCATCGTAGATCAACCTGCACCAGTGCAGCGATTACTGGCTCCTCCCAACCGGAGTGCTTGGCTGACATCTGCTAGTTGTTGCGCTATATGTTTATAAATGTTGGTTATAATGTAGGACAGCATAAGCAGCAGGGTAGCTGTCTCGCCGATGTCAATTTCACACGGTGACCATCTGTGTGGACCGTGTGGTGAGTGCACTGACTAAATATTTGCTTAGGACATTAAGGTGTTACGCTGGGTCCTCCTCCCCTCTTATTATTTAACACTAGTATGCTCACTATGGCTGTATTACATCGAGACATAAATACTAATAACTGGTGTGCTACCGATAGTGAGTCCTTTTAGTACCACTGCTTTTGGAGCTGCGCAAACAACTCCATCCACTCCGTTTTAATTAGGCTTACACGGCTGTTTCGGCAACTGCCTCACTACGTGCAGTTCAGTTCAGCTGAACAACTACGGTCCGGGCACCGAAGTGTGGTCACCAGTGTAGTCACCAGAACAATCAAAGCTAGCCTGTTCTCTACCGTGCGGCCGTACTGATTCGTAGCTCTTGCACCTTTGAGGATCCTTTCTCACTATTTTACAACACACGATTGTGCTTGCACTCATTCGACTCTGATTTGTCAGCTCTTCAACGTAGTCAGTTGCCTTTTGTATTATCCTTATCGCCTCAACATTTGATTCACGATGCGTTTGTGACGGCTTTGTCGCCGAAACACACATGTAAATACCTCAGTTTTTAAGTACCTCTTAGGTTTCTTACACTCGTTTTGAAGATCTTTCTTAAGGCGTTAGACATAACTGGAAACCGTGCTTTTTCATTACCATTTGCTGTCGCTATCTCGCACTTTGCGGTAAATCTATCGGTATTCATCGATGTCTTAGTCACGCGCCATTCTTGTACCATTGTCAGCCGGTGCGTCTACGTAACCCATCATCCGAACTGCGCAGTCACGCCGACCCCTAACTTCCGTTAACTTGACCTTCATAACCATAAAGCTTGTCCGGCCGATGTGCGTAACGACCAAATACGGAAATATAACAAAACGTCAACCAGCTCACTGGGTCTGGTAACGATACTGCCACCTTATATAACACAAATCAAGTAAATGCGAATCCAAAAGGCTCTAAGAGAAAAATATTTGTGAGCCTGGAGAATGCACTCGATCAGTCAAATTAGGGTTTGCGTGCTCGCACTGTTATAAATGCTATCATCCAAAGTGCTGTGACTTATCTAAACAGAAGGTACGAGAGCGGAACAGGTCCTCAGACGTCCTATGGTTTCGGGCTGCGTGTTCGACCATCCCATTCGTCGTGTATGTTTATATTAGTCTAGAAGTGCGACCGATTAGCGGCAGAAGTCGAACAACGAATGAACACTATTACTTCATTAGAAGCGAATCTGCGCCAGGAAAGAGTAGTGCTCCCTAAGCAAAGGAATGGTGCACAATTTGCTTCCCCTGAATCACGATCAGCAAGGTCCCCATCGCCCTTGTGCCCCTCAACTTAGGTAGAACATCAGGAGAAAATGGACCGTAGCTTTCATAATCAAGCGGTCTTCAGGATAACGAAAGTCAGGCACCGTCCGAAACGTGTGCTCGATCAAATTCCGTCGATTTCAACAACTTCTAATATTTTATATATATACATATATATATATTATATATATTATATATATATATAGATGTATATATATATATATATATATATATATATATATATATATATATATAACGCCACGATATGAGGGGTTAAACAAAGCACTAGTCAAATGCAATGATGATAGGGATCGAAATTTCTGATCAATATATCTAAATGCTTGGTCTACTCAAGGTCAAATCAGGTGGCATAACGTGATCACCATCGTTAGTCTGGGTGGGTTGTGGCCTGGACAGCTGAATGACCTGTACGAGCACATAGCTCTGGGTTTTGAAGCCGGAAAGCAATCGCCTCTGCTGTAACCAGTAGATGGCATTTGACAGTTTGCATGTGGTGTCCGGGAATCCGGTAGATGGGCTGAAATGCCTCTTACGTTTTGGCCTGCTGATTTGGATCAATCAAATGCAACAATACGGCACACGTTATGATCTTCCTTATACAACTGCTGAGGCAAGTAGGGCAATAATCCCAAACTCATCCGGACAGACGCCAGGTAGTTCTCCCTATATATGTATATATATATATATATATATATATATATATATATATATATATATATATATATACAGTCGATTCCGGTTAATAGGACCAGCCGCTTATTTTGGCCAAATTCTGAAGAACCGAAACGAATCCTACTACGCTAGCCTAATTTTAGCCGCTTAATCGGACCAAGCGATAGAAGGTGGCAGGTAACAGAGGTGTTAAAATCAAGTTCTGTGCCTGGATGTGTGGACTAAACCCACAGTTCATATGTCGGGCAAGAAAGCGTATCATTCAGTTACGGTAATCCGAGTTGGCCTTTGGATAAACTGAACTGTGGCAACCTTGAGGCACATCTATCTAATTGGCTTCAGAACCGCCCGAAACTGACTGTAGTTTCCAACACTTGTAGGCGGAGCGAAGACATACATGCTTGTTCACATGTCGTTAACCGCTCGATCGATGTACCGCACGTCCATTTAGCCGAAAGCCCTGAGCCCGCATTGCGGGCCTACTCTCGAGCACGGCAAGTGATCGCGGACACGCAGGTCCGGCAAATCATAGGACAGCAGGTGGCTAGGTCAACCATAGAAATACCCGGGAGACAGACTCGAGTTCACCTCAGTGAACTGTGCGTGTCTTTTTGCATGTTAAGAAAATGCCACGACGGGACTTGACGTTAGCTGAGAAGATTCGTTTCCTAGATCAGATCAAGGAACAGGGACCAACCACTAGTCAGCGTCGATTAGTGGAAATTTCCTGCTTGGCAAAATCTACAATATCGCTCCTGATAAAATTAGATCTGCGAGAAGAATGGGCACAATGTGATGGACGACGAGGAACTTCCCAAAACGGAAGCGTGAAGGCAAGTATCCAGACGTCGATGAGGCCCTTGATGATTGGTTTGCCTTTGTTACTGGACGAGCCGTGCGAGTAAGTGGCCCAATGTTAAAGTACAAAGCAGAAGAACTCGCTAAAATGCTGGGCCACGGAGATTTTATAGCTACGGACGGCTGGTTGTCTCGATGGAAATCTAGACATGATGTAAAATTTAAGAAAGCACATGGTGAGAAAGAAAGTGCCAATAGCGCTCGAGCTGAAGAATGGAAATCAACAAAACTACCAGAACTTCTTGAAAAATTTCCAGCAGATGACATCTATAATGCTGATGAAACCGGGTTGTACTATAGGGCTACACCGGACGGCTCCTTGAGTTATAAACATGTTACTCTCTCTGGCTGTAAAAAAAGACAATGGATCGCGTAACTGTCTTGTGCTGCTCAAACATGTCCGGAACAGACAAGAGGAAGTTGCTGGTTGTATGAAAATGTGCC